GGGGGGGAACATATTATGGGAGTTGTCGGTTCTTGTGTTTGGGAAAAGCAAAGCACACTTTTTTGTTTGTTTTTACGATTGTTTGTTTGTTTGAGTAAAAAGAAGCACATTGTCAGCACTAATTGACTGTAGGTTATGTATCGGAATGCTTAACAAACAGCTGATGCCCATTTTAAAAGTTCTTAAACAGACAAACAAACAAACAAACATTAATAAACAACACTGATCTTAAAGCTGAAACAAACAAAAAAAACACCATCAAACAAACAATCAATGTACGTGTCTCTATTCAAACAAACAAACAAACAAACAAACAAACAAACAAATAATGTGTGCTTGCTCGTTGAAATATAAACAAATGACAATACAAAACGAAAATGACACCAACAACAACAACAACAAAAAACAGCCACCTTTCTGACAAGAACGTCTTACCGTCAATTTTGCTGAAGACAAAGGCCAGCTCCCCCGGTATATCCAGGTTGGCAATGCTCGCCATCATCTGAGCTTGTCTCTCCTGAAAGAACACAATTCACAACAGGATGTCAAAAACCAGTGGGCTCTTCCTCTATCTCCAGTAACTCTATGTATACATGTACACGGCGAGCCTGTTCATCTGACACACACCAGATCGCTCGACGGGTGTCATTTACAGCCTTAAGGATACACATCTACTAAACCAAGAAAACGCTTCATGATATCTATAACAATGTTACCGACATTCTAAATATAAGATAAGACTTATAACCTAAATTCAAAATATAACATAGATATATTACCAATATTCAAAGTATCAGATAAGAGACATTGTCAAATGGATTATTTCTAACTACTTTTTCAAAATTAATAATCACACGATACAAAAATATTTAAAAACAACTTTCCAAGCCAGTAATAACAACAACAAAGACAAATAAAGAAAACTGTTTATTGCACGGGTAATTCCTTCCTACTCTATTTGGTGTATGTTTTACTCAAATAGGAGAAAAAGGTGCTGAATTATAGGCCTAGGTACATTTGTACTTCTGAGAAACTGGAGGACAAAAGTGGCTGGGTACACAGGTGGAGCAGTGTTAAAAGTGTCAAAAAACACGGTAGATCTATAGTATAATGTTGTCCATTAAAAACACGGTAGATCTATAGTATAATGTTGTCCATTAAAAACACGGTAGATCTATAGTATAATGTTGTCCATTAAAAACATGGTAGATCTATAGTATAATGTTGTCCATTAAAAACACGGTACACAAAGCTATCCATTAAAAGCACAGCACACAATATCCTCCATTAAAAACACGGTACAAAATTTTTCCATAAAAAAATAGGTGGTACATAACATACGTTCCGCGTGATGCACAGACGATAGGGGTAAATAACATTGCTCCAAACAGGATATAACATACACAATACATGTATAAATCTAGAAGCCCCACGTTTCGTTCCTTGAAAATAAAAAGGGGGGGGGGGATGAATGAAAACCAAAACACACAAACAACGCGCCGCGCGCACGCACGATATCACAATAACAAAACAAACACATTCCAATGTTTAAAACCCTACTTTGTGGCGCAGATATAAATTACCAACAACGTATGCATACCGATGTCTGAAGAGTTCCGTGCAACGACAAATTAAATAAGCAAATTTGTCAAATGTTGCATTGTTTCCACAAGAAGCTCTTATATTATACAGTCACGGAATCGTAACACAAGAAGGAAGAAGGATAACAGGCTCATTACGTACACTCTCTCTCTCTCTCTCTCTCTCTCTCTCTCTCTCTCTTTCTCTCTCTCTCTATCTCCCTCTGTCTCTGTCTCTCTCCCTCTATCACATACACACACACACACACACACACACACA